ATGCAGAGAAAATGGGGTGAATACAAAGCAGGACTCCCACAGACCACAGCACTTGGGAAGTGCTGCAGTAGCTGTGTGCTGAGCCTCAGCTTCGTGCCCAAACCATGGGATGAAACTGTCCCAGATACTTTATGAAAAGCCTGCTCAGTGGAACCTCCTGGAGTTGCTGGTGTTTAAGCTCTTATTTTGGACTGCTTCAGTCATGCAAGGAGGAGAGAGGCAGGGAGAACTAAGAATTCTCTGGCCACTGTTCATCCCACCAAGTGGCTCTCAACTTTCTGTACTCGGTGTCACAGCTCCTCGTCTGCAACCTGCTCCCAATAAACACAAGCTCTGTCACCTCTCCTCTAGAACAAGCAGGGCCTCCTGGCTGACTTCTCACCCACCAGGAAGAAACTAAAAGAGGAAGATTCACACAGACTGTCCTTCCAAGCAGGTCGCACATCTGAATTCTCAGCTGTTACAGGGTTTATGATTCACAGGCATTTGCAGTGAGCACCGAGATCTCTGGTTGCTGTAACCCTGTGCAGAAGCTCAGGACAAGTGGACTTATGTTTGAAAAGAAAGGTCAGAGAAATCCAGAGGATCTGGATCTTGTAGTGTTTTTTTCTTGGTTTGGTGGTGTTTTTTCCTGGTTTTTGAAAGAAAATGAACTTAATTATGATATTTCTATCCTGCAGTTATGAGTAGATAGATTCCACAATGCACAAGGAAACCCTGCTCCCCTGCACATTAGCAACTAGACAGAAGAAAACTGGTCCACTGTATGTTACCAGATGAAAGGTCTGAGGCAAATTCGGCATGAGACATTTTTCTGTAAATGTCTTGAAACACTAATTACCAAAGCCCAGGTTTTCTCGCTAACAGAAGTCAAATGAAGTCCAAATTATGTGAAGACAACAAATCTCTAGACCTGAAAACAAGTCCCTCATCTCAGACTCAAGCATGTTTTTAAAGCTTTACGAACTGCTAATACCAGCTCATTGCTTTACACTCCTCTATAACTCAGCCCACGGTCAAGGTGAGAACTCTGGAACAGCATCTACCCTTCCACATTCTTGCCAAGTTGATTGTAGAGACTGTTTCAGGGAGATAAAAGAGAGGGGTGGGGTGGGGAGAAAAGGTGAGGAAAAGCAACTATTTAAATATTAACAAAGCCAGATATCCATCCCTAAGAGGGAAGGACTCCTCAAGTAAGCAGCTTGCTAATCACCACAATTCGAAGAAACAATGAATTTGTAACAATGAAACAATGAATTTACTAATGAATTGGTAAATAGCCTGTAGAGCTCACAGGAGTAGCACATCTGGTATTACTATGGTATTGTCAAAAGTAGGGAGTCAAACAATCACAGACTGTTAGCTTTTAGTCAAAAGGAACGTTCTTTTAGTTAGGATAAACTTCTTAGACATCTTAAATATTAATTTTTCCACCACAATGTAAAATCCAAGGAAAGGGCACTTCCAGAAAATAATAATATAATGGCCAGTCTTCGCGAGCGAAGATCCGGGGAAGGTCTTTCCACCTTCCAGCCTGCGCATTGGATTTTTTAGGTGAGACACAGTGTGCGCGGAACTGAGCCCACCCTTTAATCCTAAGGTTCATCTGCCAGGGCCAAGCGAGCTTGGACGGTGGCAGTGAGGTCCTCAGGACGTAGGTGGGTTGCCTTTAAGGGCTAACGAGCCCCACCTGCCCGGGAGTGGCCCTGACCGGGAATCGAACCCGGGCCTCGGCGGTGACAGCGCCGCGCCCTTACCACTAGACCACCAGGGGCTCCGAAAATAAACACCTACTGATTTACATTCTTTCAGTAGAATACAATCCCCCAGTAATTTCTGTTCCCTGAACTGGAGAGGCATAAAAATCACTTTGCCAGATGCTATCCCTGTCTCTGCATTACATTCACAAGGTCAGCTGATGTTACAGTAAATACAGCTTTTTAATTAACAAGTTTTCTTTCATTTCAAAAGGTGCCCTTTAAGGGCTCCTCCAAGAGGAACTGCTGAAACAAAAGTTTTTGACATTTTTGTGAGTAGCATGAATGAGAAGCAAAATTAAACCCTATTACAGGATCCATGTGCAAATGGACAGCAGAAGAAGAGAAAAAACCTATTCAGAATATGTAGTAAGGGAAGAAAGAGATGCAAAGTTTTCAAAAGCACTCACTGCATATATAATAACTCTTCTCCCACTTTAAGTCACTAGTAAAACTTGCAAGCCGTGGGAGGAGAACAGGGTTGGATCCATGTTCATTGCACTGTAAAGTCCGAGAATTCTCTTCACAAGCCAGCATCATGATGGAAAATAACCATCTCTAAGCAACATGACCATATATTCTGAAAATACTAATTGAAGCCTTTAGCATTCTGGCAGCATAAGTCTTATGTACAGACACAAAAAGTGTAAGAAACAAAAGAGAGTTTCCTCTTATGAGCACAGACTTAGGCAGCAGGAAGGAGATCACTCTGCTCCTATGAAGTCTTAGAGCCTTCAAAAGGTTCAAGACCCCCTGCATATTTTCCTGTCTTAGTGTTACTCTCAAACACAACCAAGACACTGCAGGCCATGGTAAACATTTCTGAAGTCCAGAGGGCTCCAGGGGCTGCCTGAAGGGGACAGTCAGTACTATGTCACAGCTTCTGGAATCAGGAGACATGGCTCACTTCCAGAGCTGGACAGAGGTCACCCACTTCTAGCTGCCCTCACAGGCTTGGCAGAAGCAAGCCACAGGGTAGAAAAAACAAGAGACCTCAGACCATGTTACTCTGTCCAGCAGAGGCTGGAGAGATGTAGCTGCAAGATTCCCAATTCCAGGTATTTCTCCCATTCTCTACTTCAGACAGTATTCTCTATAATTTGCAGCTGCTCAGGACTTTATGTTCCACACATATATCTTCACTACCTATTAGACATGGCTTCATTCACAGGTCCACAAAAACAGAAAATATGATCTTTGACAAGCCTCCTACACAGAAGGTGTAAGGTTGTCTTTATCACATGCAGGGAAAGCGGGGGTGAAAGAGGACGGCTTGATTCTTCTTGTTCCTGTTTGCAGAAGAAAACTAAGAAATTCAGTTCCCAATGCTGGAAGACAAACAGACCCACACACAGCAATATCTGGGATGGGACTCTCCCCAAGTTTACTGTCACCATAAAGATTGCTGTGACTGTTCACCATGAACAGCCTCTAAAGAGAAGCTGTTCCTTGTTTTACAGCACATCCCTCCCAACTGTCCCAGCCAGCAGAAATCCCACTGCAGGCACAGTCAGAAGTGCTGTGTTGGTAGAGATACATGATTTCTCAAGAGCGGCCACAGGCCCCTCAGAGAGTAGCACTGCACAACCTTTATCAGAATAAATGAAACCTGTAAGATAACTGCAAGTTGGTGTGACATCTTGGTGACAGACCCTTTATTTAAAGGGCAGAAGAAGGGCACTTGGGATCAAACACAGGGAACTTCTTATTTCTATTTCAAAATCTCAGACTGCCCCTTTTCTACAAGCCTAGCTGAAGGCAGGATAGAGGTCTACACTTCAGCATTCAAGAATTGGTGAGATCCATTTCATGGATCCATTTACGATTCTGACCTTCTGCTTGCTGTGAATCTTTCATTTTCAACATCATCTTATGCTTGCTTTATTTTATGGGTAAAACAGTAGGTAGGCTAGTTGGGTGGTTTGCAGGAGGAAGTATCCTCACCGTTTTGAGTTGAATATTCACTAGGCTTGTCTTCCTTTCACTAAGCACCTCATTTATTCCAGGGCCTAAATTTACCAATCCTCAGTAGATAAAGTGTGTTGAGCACAGAGAGGACTTAGCCAGTCCTGATAATCAAGACCTCTTTCAGTAATTGCCTAGAATCCACTTATTAGAAAAGCAAGAGAGGCCAGACTCAAGGTCACCTCCTCTAAACCAGCCCACCTTGGTCATGCAGCATCCAACACCTACCACCCCATTTTGAGAAAGAGATAAAAGACATTGACAGAGAAAACGAGCAATGGAATCAGTCAAGTCAGATTTGCACATACTACATGGAGAATTGTGGCTATTTTGTAGACATCTTATCTCTCTGTCGTGCAATAACAGGTTATGCCACAGAAGCTCCAAGCCCTACAGAGGGCAGTCTGCAATTTGAGGAATTTTTGTTCTAATTACCCACAGCAGGATTTTTATTATATTATGGAAACAGAAATACCTGTATCTTTACCACACGCCAAAAACAAGAAGTTAATGGAAAGTAAACTGGAAGGTCAACATTCAAAAGAGTCCACGAGAAAGGTTTCAGGGTTTCTTCAAATAACAATTCACAATTATATCACTCCTCCACCCTGGGAAGGAGAAGCAGTATCTGCCTCGGGTTCTGCACTCATGGGTTCTGCCCATTGGAACACAACAAAGAAAATGCAAGGTGAGTCTGGGGAACACAATGCTACAATGACCTTGTTCCACGTTAAGAAAGCATGAAGGGGTGAAGGCACAAGTTGACAAGAGATTCCAAGAGGGGAAGACAAAATTTACAAACCCTCTTGGTCAAAACCAAGTTTGTTCTACACAACTATATTCAATACAGATCCACTTGTACTCTTTGACATACATGAGAAAATTCCCAGAAATAACTGAACAAGAGTAAGCATAAGGATGCAGTGCAATTGGAAAGACAGAAGCAGAAGACGCTCGTGACTCAAGGCCCTCTCTTTTTTTGTGAAAAGGAACCATAACGCCAAATAACAAAATCTGCCCTGAGACCATCTGCTCTTGCCTCTATTTTGATGCATTTCCCAGACAAAGTGAGCAGACCTGTCTCCTCACCCATGCTGCTCAGCTTTAGCTCTCCAGAGCCAGCTAGTATTATTCAAAATCATTACGGTGTTACGTGACATGATTATCAGCTCTGTGAGCTGCTCCAGCTCTAGAGCAATCAGTACAAAGCAGCTTCCATAATCTTCTCAGCCCACCGGCCTCAAGACAGTTTGAAGAGCATATAAAAAGCAGACTTACCTGGCTTGCTTCCTTCACAGTCATGCCCCAGTTGACCTTTGGTGTTCAAGCCACAGGTATACACCTCCCCATCTTCCAACAGGAACACAGAGTGATTTCCTCCGCATGCCACCTCCTTGACATTTCTGTCATGAATGAATCCATACACCTGTGGTTCAGGAATGATGACCTGGAGGTTACTACCTATCCCAGGTTGTCCAAAAGACGAGTAGCCCCAGCATAGCATTTTCTCTCTTTTCAGCAAGTCATGTATCCTTCCTGGGCAAGAGAAACAGGGAAATGAGTGTGAATGAAGCAAGTACTCCTCAACTGATCCTACAGAGATCCTGCTGCTCATGGCAGGAGGTGGAAAAAACAGAAAAGGCATTTCCTGCATGACTGTCAGGTTTGCAAACTGCCAGTAAAGCATTACACAGACAAAGAGGAATCAAGACAGCTCAGCTCTAATACTGAATCAGCACCTTCATGCCCTGGCCATCTTCAAGGCAGCAGAAGTGTTCTGAAGCCCAGCAGACTGAGCTTTTACTTCAGAAAAATGACTCTGCTTCAAAACCCAAATATCAAATGACTTCCCAAACCAACCGTAACGCTTTTTAGACTAACAGGTCCAAATCCGAACTTTCAGAATTATAGCGTCATATTTTCAATCACTTCTAAAGAAATCTTTAAAAATTATCTTAAAGGTGGTCAGACTAGTCCTGAACAGACTGACACAGTATATGTGGTGTACTGGTCAACACAGGACCGTGTTATTTCTGATAAACCAAATTTAAGAAGTACTTTGCTCAAGTAAACACATTCTTGCAAGCCGAATTTGTGCATGTATACATACACACCCCTAAACTGCAGCAAGGCTTTCCCAAGAAGCAGGACACTTACAGGAGTTCAAATGGAGCAGCACACTGACAGCTTGGCCCTGACAGCAATGGACAGGTAACACTGATGCAGCTTGCCAGGAGTCAGGTGTTATCTCTTGCACTGTGCTCAGTGAAAGTCAGGGATTTCAGAGTGCGGTAACACGGGAAGGGAAAAAATATAGTAATAGAAAAGGTCCAAGGAATTACTCAGAGTGAATTTAATAATGACAAGAGGATGCTAATGCATAAGAGCTGGGGGGAGGGAAACAGCATTCCAGAAAAAGCACGTGAAAGATTTTAGTAACACTCCCTTGCCACTCCTAATCTCAATAGTTTTGGGTTATTTGTAAGCATACTATATTAATAAGACACTGAGAACTCCTCTGATTGAGCCAGAAACTAATTAATTTTTTTTTTTGCAAAGGGAAGAAGAAAGAAGATTAGAAAATGAAATACCTGAGACATCAAGTCTTATGACACACCATGCAAAATTTTAAGTTAAGGCAATGTACAGTATCAGCAGCATTTCCTATCTTAGCATAGGACAGAAAACCAAAAGGTAACCCTTGAAACACCAAAGATTCCTTCTCCCACTCTGAGCAGACAGGAAACACGCATTCAGTTTGTTTCCAAAACCTGGTGCTAATTCAAGCTCTAGGTATTAGCAATAAAGCCTTTCCTAATATAAGCCCTAAGTAACTGGTGTTCATCTCTTACCACACTACCCTTCCTTGTCAGCAGACAGTAACTTCCCCTGAGGCAGGACTAAGCTGGAAGCAGGAGGGAGAGGTCTGGATTTTCCAGTTACTACTTCATAAGTGGTGCAATTTCCTACCACAAACCGTTTACTTGGATCTCCTATTAGGTGCTTTAAATGGTGCTGTGAACCCCGTTTATCGCTACCAGCCCTTGCTCCTCTATAGCGTAATTCAGTTCATTCACACCCTCATGTGTGCTTATCGCTGGCCAGCTCCAAGGCACCAAGAGGAAAAAGCAGGATGCTACAAAGCCCTGCCTGGTTAAATCAGTCATGGTGTACACTCTGCATTTGGTTGCCCTCAGCACAAAACCCTGATGAAAGATACCCTCTGCACTGGCTATGCTAAGAATAGGAATGCCGTGGGACACAAGAAAATTGAAGCGTGTACACGTGCTTTAAATGGCACAACTTCTACATTTATAGCCAACTTCATGTTCTATCACAACAAAACAAAACAAAAAAAGCAAACCAAAAATGCATGATCAATACCCTGAAGGTGGTAGGGAATGATTTCAAAACTGACACCTGAAACAGCAGAAATCTGGGACTGCCATTTCCCTCAGCCTGGGGAATTGCCTTATTATGAAGATATAAAAAAGATATAAGCAGAACAATAACAGCAATCCTGAAGATCCAAAGGTCAAATTCCCTGCTAGGATAAATGGATACTGCCTCTGAGTTGAAAAGATTTCACTAGTATACAACATTAACTACAATGACATTGTACAACATGAGCTAAATATTAATTTGGGATACCTTCTGAAAGGGTTCCTCAACGGTCTGCTCCCTATAGACTAGTCGTCTTCCCCAGTGCTAGTTTCATTTAAAAATGCTAAAAATACTTTAATTGCTTTTCTTATGTTCATATTCCACACAAGAACTTGCTGCTAATGGGCACGGGGATGTGACGTGATTGGTAAGAGATGTTTTTCCTCCAGCTAAGACACTATTCAAAACAGGAAGAGTTCAAACTCCCAGTAATCCATACAAATGCTGGGGTGATATTTCAGAGTTCAACCCTCATTCATGCGGCCACATTTTCTGAAGCCCCTCAAGTTTAACAATCCCTATGGCAGACACAGAAAATCTAGTCTTCATTAGATTTTTTTTGTTAGTTTTTTTAAATCATCTCTATCGAATTTCACCCCCCCCATCCTCCAAACATTCTACCGATAAATCCCTGTGCAGCTCAGTTTCATGGGGAGCACTTTCCACTGGAGAGCAAAAACCAACATAGCCATTTTCCATTTGAGTGTGCAATGGCCTAGTGAATTTCCTTATGTTGAAGACATAGCACATTTTTAAAACCACAACTTTAAGACAGGGTTTTTTTTCTCTGTCCCAAAAAAGCTGCTGCAGGTCTAAATACATTCTGTGCTCAAGTAAGAACTGTGTCCTGAAACACGATGAGGCTTTAAACGACAATTTCACACTCTGGTGAAATTGATTTCCAATCTGGTTAAGGCAGTTACTCTTCTCTGACAGTAGCAGAGGAAGTAAAAATCCATGTTACAGTGCAAACTACCTCTACAAGCTGCATACCTTTCTTATACTAAAACAATTACATTAAAGAGTTTCTGGTGTAGGCAAGCACTAACAGACACGCATCTGCACATACACATATATATATATATATAAAAATATAGATATGATTTATATTCACTTATCTGAAATTTTAAAAGTGGTTAATATTCCTAGCTCAATACTCCTTAAAAAACCTGAATTTTTATCTTCTGAGGACAAACCCCTAGGGGAGATGTTTTTCTGAAATGCATCAGTTAGGGCATTAAAGTTCCCACTTCCTTTCAAAAACTGGATTGCAAGAACTGCAGTACTCAACCACATCACCTATTTCTGTTCTTCACAGATCACAACACAACCAGCTTGATATTCGTGTTTCAGAAATAAGATGCAATGCAGTAAAGCCGGTCCTTTGCAGAGAATCCCCATATATAACAAACATTTAAAAAAAAGAAAAGGGAGGGGGGAAGGCATAAGGCCACATTCTCAAAGCCTGACATTCCAAGAATAATCCACCATCAAAACAGTGAAGGATGTACACAGCACAGCTAGGAAAACCTCACACTGTGAGGAATATTTTGAGGAAATCTACTGTGGGTGGAAGACCCACCCTCTGCTATAATAAGGCTCAGCTGACATACTAAGTATATATCTTTTGGTGAAAAAGCCACCCCCCTGGTTTGGTGAAATAATAATGCTGCATGTACAATCATGACAGGATGTGTTTTATTTTGCTTTCTTTTTTTTTCCCCCTTCTCTCTTTTCAATAGCTCTTATGCTATATACAGTCTCTTCACACAATCACACAAGCATATTTTAAAGCCACTTCTACTCTGCGCCGTTTCTGGGAAAGTCAGCTAAGTAAATACCGTGATTGCAACAAGCAACACTCAGGGCTGAATGCTCTCTAAACAAAGAGATCTGCCAACTGGCAGGGCATGAATAAACAAGTTTTTCCTTCCCTCTTGTTTGTGAGATTTCAGCTAGTAAATGTGCTCCTTCTATCAGCGTTGCTCAACAATGACGGAATTTACTGCTTCTTTCTGCCACTAAGGGTCCAAGCCCACTTTCTTCTTCCTTCTGCCTCCGTTTTAGTCCCACCAAAAGTCCAGCGCAAACTAGGCTATAGAGCATACAGAGAACACAAGGTGTATCAGCAAATGAGTTAAAGAAGGAACGGAGCGTTTCCATTGCACAACCACGCGCCCTCAAGCTGGATGTGCCCCCCCCCCCCAAAAAAAAAAAAAAAAATTAAAAGCATATACCTACAATCAAACAAGACACCCCCTGCCACCCATCACCTCCATTTTGCAATCCCAGTAAAAAAAAAAAAAAAAAAAAAAAAAAAAAGAAAACCACCCCGAACACGGGCTTCTCGGCTTCCGTGCTGCTGCCGGCGCTGCTTCCCACGCCCCGGCCGCCGCTCCCCGCGGACACACACACATACAGCGATCCCGGACCGCCAGCAGCGGCCTCGGACACCCCTCAGCAGCGGAGCCCTGCCCGCCCCGCACCCAGGGGATGCAGCAGCAGCAGCAGCAGCGGCCGCCCCCGGCTCCCCGCACCGGCCCGCGGAGGCGCCGCCCGGGGACGCGACTCCTGCGCCGGGGAGGGCGGCGGGCACAGACAGGGGGCTCCGCCGCGCCCCAGCCCCGGCTCCGGCTCTGGCTCCGGCTCCCCCGAGCACCCTGTCGGCCGCGGGTCCGGGCTGTCCCTTCCCGGCACTCACCCGCCGCCGGCCCCGCCGCTGCCGCCGCGGCGACGAGCAAGGGAAGTCCGGCCCCGCCGCCGCCGGGAGTGACGCGCCGAGCGGCCAATGCGCAGGGCGGGCTCGGCCCCGCCGGGCGCAGGGAGGGCCGGGAATCTCCTCTCCCCGGAGCCGGAGGGCTGCTCGGGGTCAGAGCGAGCGCCTGGCGGCCGCCCGGCCTGCCCGCCGGTGGTGGAATGCCGCGGGAGTGATGCTGCGGGCACGGGCACCGGGAGCTTTGAGCCCTGCTGGGTGAGCAGATCAGCAGCCGCCCTAAAGACAGCGGGAATCAGCGGGCAAAGTTTATAGAACGTTCTAGAATTTAAGCTGATGTAATTGAAGGGTTTCTCAGGGGACAGCAGGCTTGCCACTGTTTGAAGATGTGTTAAGGATGAAATATTACTTTTTGATGGCGATAAGTCAGTTCCTTTCCCCTTAGCCTGTTTTTATATCGTGCATTTTGTGTGGCCTCCAGGCACCTGTCAGGCTCATTTGGTTAGGAATGCATACGTTTTATACAAAGTTTCAACCTCAGGAAAAGGTTTGTTGTCAAAGTATATATCTCTGTTGTGAGAAGCGGGGGTAGGAGGGGGTGAAGGCCAATGACCAAGCAATTATGTAACTCCTGAGTATTCATTTTCTGGGTTTAATGCCATCCATTAGAAAAAGGTTGTGTGCCCCACAAGAGCAGCGCACAAGCTGGATCCCATTCAGACCACCAAAATGACAGTCAATATCTGAGCAAACCTCAGCCAGATCTTTGCAAGGGCTCAGGATGGGGAGGGGAGGTCCCTCAAGCAAGGCCAGTGCCCACAGTATTCATCACCCTTATACTACATTTCTGGCAGTTTGCAGTGTTTGTGCACTTGTCATGCTATGAGGCACGTATCAGGCAAAAACATCACCTGTATTTGCATGGATCATGCGTGTTTAGCATAAAAAAGAGCCACTCTAGTGTAAAATTACACCTGTGATGTAACAAGTTTGACTTAAGCAGTGTTACAAGTAGCTTCTAGAATAACTAAAAGCATAGATAAAGGAAAAATATTTTCTGTGTTTGCTTTTGTTTCTGATTTGTTTATTTCATCATCTGGAGACCTTTGCAAAATAGTCAGCATTTCCCTTTACACTCGGTTTCCTCTGTTTCTGACTGAGCGATCAAGGAGGGAAAGGTACACAAAGAAAAAAAAAGTGAAAAGGAAAAGAAAAATAAGTAGATGATGGAGCAAAACCTGCAATTTGTACAAGGGAGCCAGGAATCTCTTGTTGAAACCAATCTCTTGTAGAAACCATTTTAGCTTTATGGAGAACTTTCAAGGCTGCTCGTTCATAAATTGATATGATTTTAAATAAAGACACTGAAATAGACCCTCTCCAGTGGTGTCCCTGCACTCTGCTGTGCACACCTCCCTCTGGAGCCTGCTGCTGCCACTTCAGCCTCTTCTTCCCAAGAGCCCAGGCTTCCTTGCACCATGGGTCTTCCTCACCTGGGCTCAGACAGGCTGGATCAGGCTGGAGTTAAGGGCTAAGGGCTGCCCTAGGCGGGCCCATGGTGAGGCTGGATCTTTGCCAGAAGAACGTGTAGCTCACCCTTCCCTTCATGGGTTAGGTCATCCAGAGACCAGGTATCTGAAGATATCCAGAGATGACAAAATCTGCAGTTCATCCTTATTTCCAAAGCACCTCTCTCATCCCCCAAGCAGCTAAATAGCAGTCCATGATCCAGAAGCACATGGGCAAGCATTTGCTGAGATCTCCTGACTGTTGTGGTAATACAGGTTCATTAGAGTTACCTCCACAAAGGGAGACAAGGTAGCAGCTTCCACCTGCCCTGCAAACTCTGTTCCAGTAGGTGTTTTCCTTCAGAGCCCTTCACTAGGAGCCCTTCATAGCTCTCTGCCCCCATGGGCCATGGCACACGCTTTCTAAAAGGGCTGGGCAGAGGCAGTGATGCTTTATGCCTGGTCAGCCCTGCCTATTGTCAGGCATCTCACCAACTTGTCAGCCTGAGGAGGGCACAAAAGCCAACACAGAGCACACCTCCACAGGGAAACTGCCCCATGGGTCACAAGTCTATGCTCCAGGCACCTGAGCCAGAAAACTTTTGTGAGTAGCAGAAGTCCATCTTTGTGCCCATTGATATCTCTGTGTTGATGTGAAAGCAATGAACTCTTCTGCATTCTTTCATTTTTGGCCCTTAGGGAAGAGCTCTTCAGAGGGGCTCAGCTAGGGGTTTGCCATGTAAAGCAATGTCCCACTGCCTCCCATGGAAGCAGTGTTTCTGTGTGGTGTCCTCTCTGCAGTGAATTGATCATGAACGTCACCCCTCACACACTTCACCAGGGTTCCTTAATTTCTCATGGCTTACAAGCCACGAGAAGTGCTTAGGATGGATCTGGTTGCCCCAGATCTACCCTGGTTACATCAGCAGCTCTGCCAGGCTCTTGCACTTCTCTACAGGTGATGGTCAGATAAGACAAGTGGCCTAAAAAAGATTCCTGCTGCAGGTTCAATGTACTTTAGCTGCCTGTATGAAGCCTTTTAAACTCACAGCTGAATGTGATGCTCACTCATGTTATATTGTCCTGCATGGTTTATAATGGGCACTGCTTGAGAAAATGTAAACACAACTCAGTGTCCAAATTAATTTCAGAAAATCAGAGAGGAATGCTCTACTCTGAAGGTCTTTATATATATATATATATAAAAGCAGGGCTTATTTGAGGACAGATTAAAAATAGCCTTGAAAGTTACTCTGGGCCTTAATCTCCCATGTGATGTTGCATCATACGTGATGAGAAGGAAATTCCTTCAGGCTCCAAATAAACCTATTATCATTTAATCTCTAATGGGTTATTTTGAAACCCAAAGAGGATACATCTTCTATGCACTTGCACAGCACAGAAGATCACTCTCGGTTTCCAAGCCCTACCAGAGGCTTAGAAGACTATAAAAAGGGAAACAAGCAGTCGGAGCAGGCTTATGAACAGCAGGCTGAGCTGCCAAAACAGAAACCCGTCATGGCGTGGCAACATCAGCCGGGCGCGGGATGGGGACAACAGCTTGGGTTTCTGCCACTTCCCTCTTTCCACAAAAATACACCTGCAGCAGGGTGGTGCTTTTCCCAGAGGATGTAAGCATCCCTGTGATGTCATGTTTGCCCCAGGTGGGTGAGGAGGACAGGGGTTAGGTCTAAGTGGGCCATGTCCTCTCATTTCCCTTGGCTGACAGCTGGCATCTTCCAAGGTGCTAAATCCCCTCTTGTTACCACTGCCATGCCACCTACTTTCCTGTACCACCCTGGTGCTTGAGGTGAGTGCTTGATGTTTTTCTTTACTAATTACTATACTATAACTTAAAAGGAAGCTTTCTTTTTTTTTTTTGTATGTAACAATGTCCATTATACTGAGCTGGAAATTCATAAATAATGCCCCAGTCTTTCCTAGGAAACATTTACTTTTCTAAAGGAAAGAAAAAGCATTAACAGTCACTTTTTGTCACAAAACAAAAAGGTTTATGTCATTTACTGACATTTTACCCTGGTCCAAGAGGCTGTGTGTACATGTGATACCCAACACAAGGTCAAGACAGAACAGAAAATAAAAACCGCTGTTGACTTCTCACTTTCAATTTTTACATTCATCTAAAGCACATTCTGCATGAAACAGGAAAGACTGACTTGTTCATCATATACAATGCATCTCTTTGAAATACACTTACATCAGCCTTTGACTCCTATTGTGAATGGCTTCCCAAGATCAAGGAGGACAGAAAACACAGATATGCTGCCAGGCATAGGCAGATGCATAATGACAGAAGCGCACAACCACAGGGGTGAAAATTTAATCAATTGTCATTTAATTCAACACAGTAAAAATCATCTTTACATATGGCCCCTGATACATTTAACAGACCAAAGTGAAGACTGCTGAAAAATCATGATTGTTGTTTGTTTCTCTACAAAGCAAAATAAACAGAAAACACACATCCTGCCTGACACTGTCAATATCCTGCCAATGCTCTGAACTGTTTTGACAATGAGATTCCAGAAGCCCTGCAAGCCTCATGTCCACTAGGCTCTGTAGACAGAGCTGTTCTGCAAGCCTAAAATTTTACGATTTAATTGCAAAACATCTCCTTAGAAGATCTAAAGAAATATGACAAATATCACAGTTACCACACTAAATAATAAAAAGTCCATTAATGCTTCACAAATACAACTTTTGGAAAAGTCTACGAATGATCAAATCCTCATCCTGAGCATTTCCCTCAGATAAGTCAAAGGCCATATCCAGGTGAGCAGACTTCTTCAATTCACAGTTTGCAGGAACATGTCTCCTTCCTGTCAGTTGGTCCCCAAGAGAATTCTTAACTAACACAGATGAAAACCTTACCCTAGCTTGCCCTTGCGAGGATGACTGCTCAGTATATCCTGTGTGTGTGCTTGGTAATGTACAAATTATT